CTCCATAAATCCATAGTTTTGTATTGTCCTCCACAGGAGATGACTGTTCTCCACTGACCAGTGCATGAACTGAGTCAGGTTTTCAGCTCTGCATATGCCTACTCTTTCTCTCTGGCTGTGTGCTCCCTCCACATTCATAGCTCAGTGCTCATCATGTTTCTTTTCATCCAATCTGAATTCCTTCATAAACTATTCAAACAGGCAAACCCACAGCACATCTCAACACATGGGAAGTACTTCCAAGATTAGAGCAAATCAGAGGTTCTGGGGAAGGGTGGACTTTATCAGGGAGGGTGATTACCATTTGCCAAATCTGCAGCTTCACATATGGCCCAGGAGGAAGGGTTTACAAACCAGCTAGTTGCCCCCAGTGATTCACATATTGGCAGATGTCATGGACAGTCCACTTTCGCATCTATTTATTTTATTGGCCATACCTGCCAAATTGTTGTTGGGACACCAGTTGTAAACTGATCAGCTTGTGACCATCTTCAGAGAAGAAACTTTCTGCTATTGTATAGAGCATGCACTGTGATTTGTTGACTGGCAGTTGAAGCATTTTAAAAAGACAGGAAGGAAGTAATTTAATTCTATCCACTTTTATACACACTATCTCATTTAATACCCCATGGGGGCTCCATTGGGAGTGGTCATATCCTGTTACCATTTTATGAAGGAGTAAATAGGCTCAAGCAGATAAAACATTATACAAGAGGTCACACAGCCAGTAAGCAGCAGGACATAGTAAATTCTAGAATGCTTACCCATCATTGCACACAAGCATTGCCAAATTTGCTTGTATAAACAATGTTTGGTGTTTAAATTTTTTTGAAGAAATGTTTCTTCAGGGAGAAAGATGAGTCAATGTAACTAAGGAAGTAAAAGGTCTATACCCTAAAAAAATGTAAAATATGGTGATAAGAAATTGAATGAGACACAAATGAATGGAAAATACATCATGCCTATGTATTAGAGGAATAATGTTAAAATGTCTACATGTATACATCACCCAATGTGACCTATAAATTCAATGCTATCTTTATCAAAATTCCAAAGACATCTTTCATAGAAATAGAAAACGATTAAAAAATTCATATAGAATAGAAAATTCGAGTAGACAAAGCAATCTTGAGCCCAAAACAACAAAGCTAGAGGTATCACACTACCCAATTTCTAAGTATACTATAATGGTACAGTGATCAAAACAGCATGGCACTGGTATGAACTCAGAAACATGAACCAGTGGAACAGAATAGAGAGCCCACAAATTAACCCAGGCATTTATGGTCAATTTAGTTTTGACAAAGTTGCCAAGGACACAGAATAAGGAAAGAAATATTCTCTTTAATAAATGGAGTCTGGGAACCTGGATGTCCCAGGTCAAAGAATAAATTAGACCTTTATCCTTAATCATACACACAAATCAATGTATATCCTAAAACTATAAACATACTTGAAGAAACACTGGGAATAGCTTGATGACATGTGTTGGTCTTAACAATGATTTTGGGGGTTGTATAACCTCTAAAGAAAAGGCAACAAAAGCAAAATAAAAACATTATATTAAACTAAAAAAATATTGTACACAGCAAAAGAAACAATCAACAGTATAAAGAGAACATCCCAGAGAATGGGAGAGAATATATATATAAACCATAAGTAGTTAATATCCAAAATACACTAGAAACACAACTGAACAGCAAAAAATATAAAAGACTTGGTTAAAATGGGCAAATGATCTGAAAGGCACTTCTTCAAAGAGGACATGGAAAGGGCCAGCTGGCTTAAAAGCAAACACCCAGCATCACTAATCATGATGGAAATGCAATGAAACCCATGGTCACCTGTCATCCCATACCTGCCAGAATGGCTGTTATAGAACTGAGGAAAGCCACAGCTGGCGCAAATGCAGAGAGAAGGGAGGTTTTCTACTGAGTGTGGGAATGTGAATTGATTCAGCCAACCAAAAAAGAATTCCTCAAAGAGTTGTAAAAATAGAACTACCATGAAGTACTGTATGATGCAACAATCCCCCTCTGGGTGTGTAATCAAAGGGCATGAAGTGGGGATGTTGAAGAGACATCTGCTTTCTCATGTCCATCCCATCATTCACAGCAGCCAAATATGGAATCAACCTGTATAAGTTGAGATGAATTCTAACAGCTAAATCTGAAAAACTATAAAATGATATCCTTTACTTTTAGGTACTTTATTAAAGAAACACAGAAGTTATTTCATTATAAACCAACAGTGAAATGGTGTTTTTCTTTATTTTTTTATATTTCTTAAATTATCTGGCTCATTTTCAAATTTGTATGAATACATTAAAATTTTTATATAATCTAATTTAGAATAACTTTACATTCATTTAATTCCAGATGTTTTCCAATGAAAGCTTAAGGGAAAAATACACTCTTAGAAGGAACACAGAAAATGGGGAAAAAAGGTTTGGGCTGGAAGAAAAGAAATGTAATTTCTAGTCCAAGGTTACCATGGGTATGACCTCTAGTGAGTCCTTCCTGAAGCTGAGTTTCATGGTGGTTGAAATGTCATCATCTGCTATTGTTAAAGCACCGCTGTATGAGAGGTGGAAATGCCTTATTCTCTTAGCATTTACTCATGGTTTGCTCTTATTGAGATGTGAAGACAAATACAGTGCAGCTCCTCCCTCTTGGAAAGAATGAGTTAGGAGACATAAACAAATTTGGGGTGAAGGAAGAAATGGTAAAGGACAAAGAGGCATTGGCGAAGAAGACGCTAGAGGAAAAGAGAGGAACATTCCAGGGAGAGACCTTGACACTTCTCTAAGACCATGAGTTCTGTCAGTGTATAGGACTTGTCAGCCTGAACAGAAGGGGTCAAATTACAAGTGAGGATGGAAAGACACCAAGAATCCTGGTTGCCAAAATAATGTGGCTGTGCTGTGAATTTGCATTTTATCCTCAAAGGGGAAGGGCTATGAAGGATTCTGAAACGGGGACAAATGAGTTTAGAAAACAGATTCTGAAGCCAAATAGATAACAGATCTGAGCTGGAAAAAAGTCTGCTCTCACAGTATTAGCTTAGTCAAGGGAATGCAAAGGTCTAAACTAAAACAAAGGCAGCCAGGATGGAGAAGGACCAGTCTTGAGAAACGGTATAGAAACAAGACTAAGTTTATTGTGTAAAGGTGAGAAACTAAGTGACTCTTCTGATTTGCTTGGATAGGCAATATAAGTCCTACCTATGGAGGGGGCTTGAGAAAAACAAACCATTATATGTATGTAGACTCTAGACTTAAAGAGACACATATACACATAGTCACGTATGTATTATATCATATAAACACTAGCAGGATGATTTGGGTGGAGAACGTGAATTATTAAAAGTGAAAGAGGAAGGTTGGGGAAGAACAGTGGACAACAAGTATGAGCAAGTCACAATGTCACTAGTATAAGTAAAACACATTATTTTGAATAGTAACTAAACATAATTATTAAAAACATTTAAAAAGATGGAGATAATTAGCAAAAAGAATGTGACAATGTGGGTTTCTGAGCCTACTTAAGTTCAGTCTTGAATATACAGACCTCACTGTGCTTGTAAAGTATCCAAGGGGTAATGGACATATAATAACTAGTTGGATGGAAAGTGTTAGATGATGCTATGAACTATCCAAAGATGCATAGTATTACCAGAACTCATTCTATCCTTTCAGAATGCATACTAACTGTGTAAAGCCACCAGAGAAATGACTATTCTATATATGGTCTATTCGGCAGTAATTCTATGGGCTTCAAAGAATTAATATATTACTTAGTCTTTACTAGATGAAGTACTGTAGGTTATCTCTAATAGTTTGTAGCTTCTTGTTCATATTCATGTGGCCAGCATCTGGCCTGGATTAAAAAGAGCTACCACACAGACACAGATAAAGGACAGTGTTCTGGAACCCTTCTTTCATACAACCTTACTGCCTATCACATTTTCCTCCATGCATTCTTACTTCCAGCTGCCATGGGGTCACCAAATCCTTGCTTAAATCAAATGTCCTCTGGCTCCAGGTCTCATGATGAAAAAATTTATGGAGTCTTGGACACATTACAAGTTTTACAGCTTTACAGCTGAAACCCTTCAGGTCCTCCTGACCTACTAAAGAAAAAAAATGTTTTATTTTATTGTGATTCCCAAGTGTTCTCCAGTGTGTGCATTTTTCCAATAGAATGTCCTGTTGCTTCCAGCAATGTGTTTCATATTACCTTGAAGAGCAGGACAGCACTGATAGAAGGAAGCCAGTCAATCTTCTTGCCAACACGAGAGAAAAACAGAATTTGCCATTGGAAGCATGAGTAGTTGGTTAGATCTACAAGTTATCAGTTTGCATTTCTCTCTTAATGGGGATACCTTATATTAGTTAACAAGTTTACCCTAATTATTTAGAAATGATTTAAAGGCTGAGTGGTGGTGGCGCATGCCTTTAATCCCAGCACTTGGGAGGAGGCAGAGCCAGGAGGATCTCTGCGAGTTTGAGGCCAGCCTGGTCTACAGAGAAAGGTCCAGGACAGGCACCAAAAATAATTTATATTTTCCAACTAATGATACATAATATTGGCTATTTATATGAGGCCATTTAATTAATAATATATTTAAAGATACTCCTTGAAAACATTCTATGTTGTTATGAAGTCCAAGATGTAGCTAACAAAACTTCTGAATTAGACATTTCCTAGGTAACAAATGGTTATATGTATATACATACTACATGTATATATAATCACCTAATTATTTCTATCTATCTATCTATCTATCTATCTATCTATCTATCTGTTTATCTATCTATCTATCTATCTGTTTATCTATCTGTTTATCTATCATCTATCTATCTATCTACCTATCTATCTATCTATCTATCTATCTATCCATCCATCCATCTAACTATCATCTATGATCTCTTTCTTTCAGAGATTATAAGTGCCTTGTGTTTGGGTGTGGCTTATTATTAAAATACCAAACAGGCTTACCTTGATGATGAAATCTGCTGTCAGTGGCCCAGCCATCCTCAGTATCTCTTTGTCTGGAAGTTTCTGGAAGTCCACCGTAGAATTGTCCACAAGGAAAGTTCCTGTAGAGCTCAAACTGTTTTCACCTTTAGTCCCTTGGAGTGTCTTGGTTTCCAGATCTATATAATCAAATGCAAGAAGAGGAGAGGCAGGTATGCCTGGGCTACCACACAACACATACAAGCACATTTTGTGGAATTAAAACTCATGCTACTTAAGAGAGGAACATTGTTCTTTTGATAGCCAACACTATTAGAATTGCCATATAAATAAGATATATAAGCGTGGCTATGTCATACAGAAGATTATATTGCAAATGAAATTATTTTAAAACTCACTATCCAAGAATTCATGGCTCCTTGTCAAAATACTCTTTGACTTTCCAGTACCTCATCTGAGCATCCCACTTTACTGTAACCCAATCCTTTGGCTTACTCACGTCTCATACGTATCTATCTGATGTCTGTCCTGGTTGCCTTCAGCCCAGTAATACCCTCCAGTTTTCTTTTTGCTCGTTGATGTAGGTCCAAGTGCATCCATGTTTTGCCTAGGCATCTGTGTGACATCTTGCTCATGCACTAACCTACATCCCTTTATACTTTCTGTTGCTTACTGCACACATGCTGTTGCTCAACTGAATAAAACAACAGTGGCTTAAAGACAGGTGCTATCCATTGAGTCCCCTCTCTTTTGACATCCACTTTTGATAACTATTTTTATTCACATATGTGATATTGTATAAATGCCTAAGCAGAAAGAAATGGATCCTAGAGCATTCAAGTCTGAAATTGTTCAATGACACAGTCTATGAGGCATCTTTTGTTGTAGGAAATTAGAGCATGCTGAAGATGATTGTAGTTATGATGATATATATGCATTTATATATGATTGAAAATAAAATTATTGTGATATATTGTGATGTGTATTAACACATATATCATAATATATATTAGTAATATATATGTATTATGTCATATAAGCACAAGCAGGATGATTTGGGTGCAGGGAAGGAACTATCAAACGTGGAGGAGGAGGGCTGGCTTCTTTACTGAATATATATTGATAATATATATCACAGAGAGGACTAAGTTGTGATTGAGAACTTATTTAGACTGATTGTGGCCTATATGAAGAAAGACAGAGGGACTTAGGCAAATTATTTCCAGAAGAAAAAGCACAAGAATCATTTTTTTTCTGTCAACCATTCTTCAGTAGAAAGATACGTGAGGTTCTGTGTCTTTCACCCCAGCTTTAATTAAGACTCTCCTCTTCTGTATTACAGAGTGAGCTTTTGAGTTAAAAACACACTTAATGCCTTTGGAGGTGCCAGAGGCTAGGGGTGTAGCCTAGTTCTGAGCACTCAGATCTGCTGAGAGGCCTTCCCTGCTGCCTTTTTCAAGATCCATCTGGTTCAAGATGAGTTGGTGTGGCGCTGCTTTGGCCTGCAATAGTTGAGGTTGGCCCCATTGTGAAGGGAAAACAGCCACAGGAGACATGGGGCGTCATTTACCAGCCCCCCCTCATCATTTTGTTGAAATAAATAAAAAAATTTAAAAAAGAAATAAAACAACAAATTCTTCTAAAATATCTTTTGAAACTATAGTATAATTACATAATTTCTCCCCCCCAACCTTTCCTATGTTCCACCCCTTGCTCTCGGGTTCACAGCCTCTATTTCTTTAATTGTTATTACATGTATCTATATATACATCCCTACATCTTGCTCTGTCTGTATAATGTTACTTGTATGTGTGGGCTGACCACTTAGTATTGCCTACCTATACAGTGTAAGCAGCATGTTCTCTGGGGAAAAGGAGATCTCATATTGCATTCTATCATTCATGAATATCACTTGCAGCTTACCTAGACATTCTTTAGGACAATTCAATAAAATAAAGCTAATCCTTTGGCTTTTGTGTACCTCATGCATGCATTGTGTGTGCATGTGTGTGTGTCTTTGTGTGTAGAGGACAGATAGTGATATTGGGTTTCTTCCCCAATTACTCTGCATCTTAGTTTCTTGAGACAGGGTCTCTCACTGGACCTGGGGCTCACTCCTTGGGCTACATTGGCAGGCTAATAAGCTCTGGGGACCAGCCTGTCTCTGCCTCCAGTGCTGGGATTGCACACACACACTGCTTTCTTATCTGGCTTTTTCCATGGGTGTTGGGGGATCTGAAATAAGATCCTTATACTTGCATAGCAAACGCCTCACTACCTGAGCCATCTTCCTAGACCCCCAATTCTTCAGCTCCTCAGCAATCATAAAACTAGGAAATATAGGAGACTGTCACATGTATAAATATAATATTTTGTTTTAAATATTTCTTGGGCAATATCGAGTCATTTCCCTGTGTAGCGATGATCTCAGCCTGACTATTTTATTTCATTCTCCGTCACTGCTCACAAAAATTCCATTTTGGAGTGTGGTTGTTATAATAGCATTTAGCTGTATCCTGTTCTTAAGAGGATAAACCAATCATTTGGGAGGTATAAAGTGCACAATATGTTATCTTTTGACATGTGAACAATGGACTTTATGGGGCGGTTCAGGATTGGAAAAGAACTCGGGTCCATATAAGAATGACTTTTCAGTGTTTTCTTGTTTTGTCTAAACTGTACCTCACTCACTCCTGACTTCACATGACCTTTCTGACTTCACCTCTTCAATTAAATGTGTTTGTTTTTAGGAACAGACTTAGTAGAAAAACTAACTTTTACAGGCTCTGGCCTATCTTCTTGTTGTTTATCAGATTATAATGATCTTTATAGTCTAATTGTCAGAAAATAATCCTTGCTACTTAAACTGATTTCGTGGGCATGTGTGTGGAAGAGGAGGGGGAAAGACCAGAATTGACTGTGGGAATTTCAGAGGTGAGCAGAGTGGAGGGGACCGCAGTGCTGAAGGGAATAACCGAAGGAGCCTTTCAGTGAAGGCGAACTTCAGAGGAAATGGTATCACATCCCCCTTTCTCTTTATTACAGACCAAAACTTTCTGGTTGTAATTTACAGTGCTCTATCTAAATAGCACTAAACCGCGAGGAAGAAGATGTGGCTGCCTTGGAATGACTGAGGATCAGTTCTTATAGACAAACCCTATGTAGACCCAGCTACCCTTTTATCTTAAAGGCTTTGTTACCATTTAATCCCAAATCCTACCATTTATCTTCAAGATAAGAGGGTTCTGAACTAAGACACAGAACTAATTTTTCTGCAAAGGTTTGTTTTAAATGTCACAGTTCGTTTGTTACTTCTACATATTTGTGGATTGATGAAGTAAAGATCTAAAATATGGAAGGAAAAGGAAAAGAATGGAGAAGAAATGAATTTTAGAAGGAGGAAAAGAGAGGTGAGAAAAGACAAAAGGTATGAGTAACTATAGAGAGGAAATACAGAGATGTAACAGTCACAAAGGTTTGGTGACTCAGTCACGTGCATAGCCTATGGACAACCCACTGCACCATCTACTGTGTATATTTCAGGGTGACTGTGCTTAGACGTAATGACTACACAGCCTTCTCCCATCTCATCAGGCAGCCAGTTATAGGCAGAAGGCATTCAAGTGGTCATACCACACTACAGTGAAGGGGGCGGGGGCTGGTTCTCTTGCACTTTCACTCCTTCTGGGAACAAATTAATAATAAAAGCTAAAATCTCCAGGCCCTCAAGGAAGACAGTGGCTCTACTTACACAAATGATCTGGCCCCTTCAAGACGAGGCGGATGTGTCTGCTTCCATAAGGTATGGCAACCACGGTGTCATCCACTAGAGAGAAACAGAACAAAACTTTAAAAGCACATAATCTGACACAAAATTACCGATTATCTCCCATACAAAGGCAGGGACAACAGATTTAAATTTTGTTTTCTTTTAGTGTTTGAAATGTAAAGTCAATGTTTGAGAATCAAAATGTGTCCTTTCTCCAAAATAAAACATGTCAAAGAAGCTAGCTGCTGCTTAGCTTGGGGGGAACTAGACCTCTTACAGGAAATAGGTTTTTTTAAGATTTGTTTTAATTTTGTGTGTGTGTGTGTGTGTGTGTGTGTGTGTGTGTGTGTCCATCTGCTTCCAGGTGGGGATATGTGCACATATGAGTGCAATTGCCCCTGGAGACTGGAAGAGGGGGGCAGGTCCCCTAGAGCCATTGTGAGCTACCTGACGTGGCCGCTGAAAACTGAGCTTGAATGTTCTGTAAAAGCAGTATGTTCTTTGAGTTATTAAGCCATGTTTCCAGCCCCACTCTCCCACGAATTTTGATTTAAAAGTGGATTTTTTAAGGAAACCTTTTTTATTTTAAAATGCCATCAAATTTTCCTGGATTACAGCATTTTCACTGGATTAAAAATAAAAATAAGCCTTAGTGTTCAAAGGATGATGCATGTTATCAGAATTTGCACCTCTCTCAGAGCATCTTGGCTAAGTGGGGCGGACTAGGAGGGGGAAAATACATTTGTGTGCTCTGAACCCTCAAAACCCTTCCTTCCCATTCCCTACTATAAACTACCTCCATTCTTAATGAAATATTGTGAAAGCCTGTAAATGATGATCTAATATATCTCCACATTTACCATCTCTGTTTTGAAATACCTTTAAAAATCTGGCTGAATCAAAGATTATTTTGCCATGGATTACCCTACCTAAAATTGAGCAAACATTCATGAGACACACATATTAAAAAGAAAAAAAAAATAGGGCCCAGCACTGGTGGTGCACTCTTTTAATCCCAGCACTCGAGAGGCAAGAGGCAGGCAGATCTCTGTGAGTTTGAGGCTAGCCTAGTCACAGAGTGAGTTCCAGGGTAGGCACCAAAACTACACAGAGAAACCCTGTCTTGAAAAAGAAAAACAAAAACAAAAAAACAAAAAACAAACCAAACCAAAAACAAAAACCCAAGGAGGCTGGAGAGATGGCTCAGTGGTTTAGAGCTCTTGCTGCTCTTCCAGAGGACCTGGGTTCAGTTCCCAGCACCCACATCAGGTGGCTCACAACCATCTGTAACTCCAGCTCTGGGGAATCAGATGCCTCTGGTCTCCTCAGGTATCTGCACTCACATGTACATACTCATGTGCATAAACATACACCTACATATAATTCAAAGTAAAAGTAAATCCTAGAAAAGTAATTGGAGGTAGATTCTACCCACCCTGTTGACATCACAGACATTACCTTTGGAAACTCCATCTCTGCCTTATTACACTGGCTGCAGGCTCACTTTCACTTCAGAGACTGCCTCACCCATGACTGGTGACATGCACAAAGATTTTGTGATGAAGAAATGGAATCATCCCTAGGAGCATGGCAACTAAAGCAAGGCCAAGTGGACAGAAAAGCACTTGACAGACGAAAAAGGCAAGTTCTTTACAATGAGCCATTATATCCAGAAATTATGTGCGTATGTCTATTCCTACTTACGTTTCCAGCAATAGATATCATCATAGTACTGGGATAATTAGGTTTAAATATAAGATTCCCAGTGGAGGTTAGTTTAGATAGTGAGCCACAGGAGTTATCTAATGAGTCTCAGTCTCTCGGCTTCTAAAAGAAGGCAACATCTAATACTGCCGTACATGGATATGAATAGTGGATACAGATACAGATATGTTGCCTGGAACATAGGAGGCATTCAATACATTTATTTTCCTCCTTTTAGTTCAAGACTTCTTAAGAATTGGGGCAGGGAGGCTGAGAGATGGCTCAATGGTTAAGAGCACTGGTTGCTTTTCCAGAGGCCCTGGGTTTGATTCCCAGCACCCACATGGCAGTTCACAACTGTCTCTAACTTCAGTTTCAACACCTTCTTCTGTTTTCCACAGGCACCGGGCATGTGTAGGGCTGAAAGATTTTTATTTTGTGTACCATCAAACACTGCAGGTTCCCTAATATCTAACCTGCTGATTGAGGAGGGTGAATCACGGGTCTTCAGTCCTGCCCTGAAGAGGTTACACTTATTGAGGCTGTTGAATACTCTGCTGACATTATAAATGTATTGGTGTTTTTAACGCCATGCGCTGTGGAATAAAAGACTGCATTTCTCAGAGCTGGGACTCCGTGGCACAGAAAGCAAACTGAGTAAGGGGAAAAACAGAAGAGGAACACATAGACATTGAGGCTGGGCCTACAGAGCCTACAGTTTAAAAAAGATGTGTATTTTGAGGCTTGCAAAAGCAATTCAAAGAAGTTGAAACAATGAGATTTCTAGAAACAGCAGGTCTTTGTTTATCCGTAGGTCAAAAGAAGTCCAAGTGAAAGTGAAGCTTACTGTTTGGCATCGCTCTGCTCAGCTGCAGTCTTCTGACCCCCACACAGCCCATGGGCCCGGCCCCTCATTCTTAGAAGTAACTCACATTCCACATGCTGAGGCAGTAATGCTGCCGCCTTTTGGCTGAGGCACTAAAGTGTGTATGCTCCAGGGGGAAGAGTAGGGAGCAAGGCAGAAGAAGGCTGCAGAGGGTCTGAGGCGGGTTACGGAAAGCCCACCAAACAAGAGGGAAGAAATATCTTTTGACACCCTTCTTTCTGTGCCTAGTCTAAGAGGAAAACGGGGTAACACAGGTGCCAGAGTGATGGCCAGACCACAACACAGAGGTTGGAGGAGCTGCAATCTGTTCTTGTGTTGTGAGAAGATGGCCCCAGTAGTCACCAGGAATCAGTCAATTCATTATTCTGTTCTACAAAGTTTATGAGTCTCTCATATGTCACACTTTATGTGAGAGAGTAAGGAATCAACAAATGAGTGAACCATTGGCCCCAAAGATGGGTCCTGAAAAAATGGCTTTAGGGAAAAATAGGGAACCTTGTTGACTATACCCTATTTAGGGAAATTCTCAAAGCCCTTTTATTAGTTTCTATTAGTTCCTTAGCAACCCCAAGTCAAAGAAACCATTTCCTTCTGTTTAACTCAGGGTATGTTCAACATGTGCATCATAAGAATTGTTAATGGCATCTGATGTATGTCAGAGCATAACTTAGGAAATAGGCTCCTGATGTGATAATCCTAAGTGGTTAGTCCTGAACATGTGTATATATATATAGGCAATGCTAGTTGGACTCAGTATTTTGTATACATAATCTATAATGATCCTATAATAATTATAGAAGAAGAAGAAGTCACTGAATTGGAGTAGGGATAGTGGGAAGAACATGGGAAGTGGCAGGGTGGGAAATGGAGGTGTGAAATGATATGGGCACAATTTTACTCACGCATGAAATTCTCAACTATTAAAATATAAAAAAGGAAAATGTGAAAAATGAAATTTCATTTCTGCATGTTGATAGGAAAAGCTAAGTTGAGTGGGAAAACATTGTTGCATTAAATAATAAACTCTCGTCAATTTAGGGTGGGTTAGAGGATTCTTCTAGTTTGCATCACGGTTATGCACAGAGATGTTTAAGAAGTTCCAATGATGCACTGTGATGTCTGGTTCCTGAGTGACTAGTGTAATTGGTGTGGTTGGTGGGGAAGGTGGCCACATTTCTCACCAGGCTACACATTTCTCTAAATGTCCTCTCCTACAAAGGCACACTGTTTCTTGATCCACTGCATCTGTTCTGATCTACTCTGACTTTGTTGACAGAACTGTGATGCCAGTCTTTGGGACATAGTCTAGGTTACTAATCAACATTTTAAGAGAGATTAGATAACATATTTCTGTGTTAAATGGACAGGCTCTTCATGGGAATCATGAATTCTGTCATTTCACATACCTGGGTGGCAACCAACATTCCACAAGCCAGTTGTTACCAAAGAATGTACTTCAAAGATTTATCTGAAAATTTCATAGTGTGGCAGATACTATCTTCACTTTTCTATATAGAGCATTTTGAATGAAGTTTTAAATTTTGACGGTGTCCTGAACTGATGAATCAGAGAAAGGTGAAACAATAATACTTTGAAAACACAGGTTTCTTATTCTGATGTTTGAGTTCATCTTAGTTTTAGATCTGCTGTTAAGTTCACATTTTACAGGAATCTTCCCTAGGGATAATACTTGATCGTATTTCTTTAATGAAAGGATGATTGTTGTTAACACAAAAAGTCTGCCAATATTGAAGAGGTTTTGATGGTGTATTTTAAGTCTTTATCCCAATTTTAGTGCTCTAAAAACATATCCAATAAAACAGAAGAGGCTTAACATTTAAGCCTTTCAACCTTCTATCCCACCCAAGTTTATCAGTAATTGCATAATGGAAGATATACGGTGGGCAGGCCAAATAACACTCTCTCCATTATCAACTGGAAAATTTTATCTTTTTAAGGATCTGGGCCAAAAACTGTAGTGCTATCCAAAATTACTTTTATTCAGAATAAGCTCTATTGTTAAAAGATTCTATTTCACTGATTCTAAGAGGAACACATGTTCATATTTTTATATTAGGATATATTGCACAATAGTGTCTTAAGTTCTCTGTTATGCAGGCAATAATCCTGCTTCATCCCTCTTCAGCTGTATAGATAGATGCCAACATCAAAATTGCATTGCATGAATATATAAAATTCTAAAAATTTACAAAATATCATATTAAAAAACTAGCTGGCATACTTGTAAAATGAGTGTCAGAAGTGTAGAAGAAAATTCCATAGCAATAGTAAAACACGCTCATTAATCCCTGGGAAATGACCTTAAAGACGGCTAGGTAATGAGAACTGAAGGGCCACACAATATCCCCATGATTTTAGAGTCAAAGCTATTTGGTTCTACATGAGCTGTTCTCAACCTGTGGGGTCACAACCCCTTTGGGGTCACATATCAGATCTCCTGCATATC